CAATCTCCCTCTCATTAAGGCCAAATGGGCTCATTCAGTGTTCCACTGGAATGGCCACCAAGTGGCTATATTTGTTGCTTCTTTGGGGCTAGAAGATGTCATTATCACATGTGGAAGCCCTGACTAAATTTACTCAAAAAGCTCTTAATGATAATCAAGCAGGAATAGCCTTATTAAATACTGAAATGTCTTTAACGAAAAAGGCTGTCCTTAAAAATAGAATGGCTTTAGATATTTTAATTGCATCCCAAGGTGGTACATATGCAATCACTCAAACTGAATGCTGTGCTTTTATATGTGATGAATCTTCCAGTGTGTCATCTCTGCTAAAGCACAAGAATAAACAGGTGAATGCCTTAAGCAGTCCTACACCCAGTCTTGATTTGTTTGGTTGGCTCCTTTCCAGTATCAGTTCCCTTTTTTGATCCAGCTTGAAATTCCTATTTCTATTATTTCTTGGAATTCTTGTACTGGTTATAATATTCCAACTAATTGCTGTTTTCTTTACTCAGTGTTGTATGACTGGGGGCATACATGCTAGACTAATGGTTGCTTGGCAACTTGAGATAGTTGATTGATCTTACAATCCTGGATGAATTTCCTTTTCTGATAAGCACTTTGCCTAAGATCTCACTTTAAACGAATATTTTCAAATACATTGAGTTATTATCATTGTTACTGTACTTGTTCTATAATTGTGAACAATCTAAACATAAGGAGTCATAGAAAAGCACATGTACAATGTTTGTGCCACAATCTGAAATTAATTGAAAGTTATATAACCTATGAAATGCTTCCTTTGTTACCTCCATGTGTGTCTGACTATATACACCCAACGTGGACAACTTGCCAAATAAATGAGATAAAAGCCTAGCACCAAGAGACATGATGGACCCAGGGCAGAGAGAAACCACTCTGGCACCAAAGAACAATATTTTGATCATCAATGCTTTCTATCAAAAGATTATAGATCAGAAGAGGAAAAATGATAAACAAATGGCAAGCAATAGGATATATTGGAGTACATGAGGATGCCATTTGGTGTAAAACTAATTTGGCCTGACCTTGTTTTTACAAAAGGGCCTGACATGGACATTGAGCATGCATTGTGTACCTGTTTTAAGCATTTGCTTTGTTCCCAGTACAAGAACAAATGCCCTTAAGATAAAGATGCCACTTCCCCCACATTGGCATTTCCTTAAGGATAAGCATCTTTCCCTAGGCTAGAAATTGATTGCTGAAATCATCCTGTGACCACCCAGCTTGAGACAACAGACCTGCTACCTGTTGTGTTTGTCAAGAGAGCAGACCTGCTACCTGCTGTGTGAGTCACTTACTGGCTAAGTGATCTCAGGACTGTTGTAAAAGGGGCATTCCAATCACATGCAATACATGCTCTTTGATGGTATATAACGACTCTGTACACCCCACTTCTTTGGTGCCCTTCCTCCCTTGGGGAAGCAAGGTCCCTGGTTAGCCCTCAGATCTGGCTCATAATAAACTCACCACAATTTTGATTTATAGATTGATTTTGGATTATTTATGTCAACATTTCCAAAGTATAGTTTTACAGGATATAGAGTTTTTGACTAAAAGTTTTTTCTTTCAACATCTGGGTATTTTATTTCAGTGACTTCTGCTCTCCATTATTTCTGATGAGTGGTCACCCATTAATCATCATCAATTAATAATTAATTAATTTTACCCTATATATGATGAATTATTTTTCTCTTGCTGCTGACAAGACCTTATCTTTGTCTTTCATATCAGGAGCTCTCTATTCTATGTCTGGATGTGTATCTCTATTTGTTTATTTTAGTGGAGTATATTGGTGGATTTGTGGAAGATTCATCACATTTGATAAGTTTTCATCCATTCTTTCTTCTAATATTCTTTTTGCCCCTTTCTCTCTCCTCTCCTTCTGGTATTACCATTATGTACACACAGGTATATGTAGGTATACTCAATGTTGGCCAACTGGTCTCTGAGGATCTCCTCATTTTTCATTTATTTCTCAGTCTGATTCAATCTTCTTTTAGAATAGAAAATTACTATGGATGTATCTTAAATCCCCAGGTTTTTTTTTTTTCTTTTGCAATCTCAAATCATCTTTTTATCCCTCTAGTGATTTTTTCAATTCTGGTTTTGTACTTTTCTACTCCAAAATTGGATAAGGTTCTTGTTTATAATTTCTATCTTTTTACTGAGGTTCTCTATTTGTTGTCATTATCTTCACACTTTCCTTCAATTTTTAACCTTGATTCTTTTTATTCCTTTGAATATTTATAAAAGCTGCTTTGAAATCTTCACCTGCTTAATCCAACAACTGGGAACACTCATTGATTATATAGTCTCACTTTTTGTTCCTGAGAAATTGACACAATTTGCTTATTTGCATATACTTATTTTTTCCCTGAATACTGGAAATCCAAAATAATATATCATAGTAATTCTGGATTTTCATTTATTCCTTCTGAGAAAATTTTTTTTGTTGCTGCCATTTTATTTCATTATTTTAGTCACTTTCCTGGACTAAATTTGCAACAACTTTCTACTCTGGAAAGTATGGCTGCTGTATATGTTCAGTTTAAAAAATTTTTTTCTTCTGTTTAATTTTAAGTTTAGCTTTGTCAGGGTCATCCTTGTGTCTTCAGTTTAGTTTTCAGTCAAGGATTAATCAGAGGTTGTGCACAAATACTTGTCTTGCCTTTCTGTTACTGGATTTTTTTGTGTGGGAAGGACATTCAAATTTCAGGTCATTTTCAAGTTTGGCCTGGATTTTACTTTCCATTCGAATCTCTTGCATCTTTTCTGTGTTGTGCACAGGCTCCATCAGTTGAGGATGCATTGATGGATGTGTGGTGGGTTAGGCCTGCCCTGGTATCTTTTCTTAGCATTTGCAGTCTCCAGTCACCATGGAATGCACTGAGAGTGCATTATTCCTCTTATGACTGTCTCATCTCCTGACACTCCCTATTAAATGCATGGCTATTTCCTGGTTTGTTTTTTGTTCTAAAAGGCCTTCTATCTCAGTTTAGCAAGGCAGTAAGTCCTTGTGTTCTCCTGACAAAGTGATTGCTATAGTAATTGACAATACTACAACAAATCAAGTAATCCCCTTTCCTCTCACCCACCCTGAAGCAGTGGCAGCAAAGCTAATGGATTTTACACCTTGCTGTGTTCTGGTTGAATTACCATGTTGACAGAGCTGTGACAAAAGAGATAGAAGCATCCTCAGGGAAGGAAGCTACACTCATTTTCTTGTTAAATGAGGTAGTTTTTATGAATAAACACTTTTTAATCTGGTTTTTGTTGATTTCCAGAGTACTGAAATGGTGGTGTTTGACAGTTTTTGTCCACCTTTTTAGTTGCTTTTAGGGGAAAGGTTTTGTTGACCTCTTCCTTCCATATTGCAGGATATCAGAGGTTTATCTCAAGCTATTTTAAATTTTTTAATTTATCATTGGTTTTCAGAAGCTTGATTGTAATTTTCCTAGTTGTAAATTTCTTTATATTTATCTTGCTTGAGTTTCACTTAGCTTCTTGTATTTAAATTTAAATGTTGGGTGTTTTTATCTTGTTTAGGAAACGTGGGGTCATTATTTTTTCAAATATCTTTTCTGTACACTTTTCTATATTTTTCCCTTTCATCTGAAACTCGCATTACACATATGAAATAATGGTAGATACTGTCTCACAAACATACAATGATGAATCTCATGTGTTTCTCTTATCTCAAAGATCATAGTCCTATACCATAACCTGGTAGCAAATACCTCATATAATTTTCTAGTGTTATTCTGTCATGGCAAGAAGCAGAAGTCTTTGTGACTACTTCTTTTTATTGTCTTTCAAGAATTAGAAGTAATCTCAGAAATTATGTCTCTGAAATACTGTTGCTTCCTGAAGTTATATTCAAATCTCTTATCTCATCTCACATACAATATATACATTTTTACCATTCCATGAATTACATTAATTATAAATTAACTGTAAGGTAAGGATTACCAATTATTGATGCCCTTACTTAGTTGAAAACATTATTATCAAATTCCCATGAATTACCATAGACGGCTTCACATGAACTCTTTCACAGGTAACCCAAACTCTATCCAAAATTAAGTTCACTATCTTCATGCTTGGTCCATCTTCTGATTCTTTTACTCCAATATGGATATATCATCATTACCCATTCTTCTCCATGTGCCAAATACAACGTATCATCATGCCTTATTCATTGTTGCTCACAAATATTTGATATTATGTAGCAGCTTATTTATCTCCTTTTTTGTTGTTTACTTTGGGCTCTTATAATTAAAGCTTTTGGTTTCCAGGTAATTTACTTTCATTCAGACTCACAATATAAAACTCATTCTCCACATTGCTGCTTGAGTGGTCTTCTATGGGGATCTCAATTTTATTGCCTTACCAGACACTTGATAACATGTTTGTGGAGGGGATGTATTAATGAATGAAAGAGTAATTGAATCAATGAATAGCCTATGACACTTGTCTTCATCCATGAGAACAAGAGAATACATAAATATGTATTCCATCAGTCAAAATATGATTTACTATTGTTTCCTAATAAATACATACATTTATATTTTGCCACATTTTTTCCAAATTTCATTCAGAATAAACACTTTATCCTACAGTTGTTTTTTTAAATAACTTACAAAGCTTTTAATGATATGGAATGCAAATCATTTATGCAATATTTATTCTCCCATATTTGAATTTGTTTTGAATTCATCCTATAACATTTATTGAAACTTGAGTACTATATTCTAACTTATTTAACTAAGTTGATTAAAACTGAGTGTCTCTGAGAAAATCTCATTACAAATATTGTGTACCATCAGTTTAATTAAAGCCACTATTCAAGATAACTTTTAACTACTTAGGAGATCATTAAACTTTTGACTTGGCAGTATATTTCTTTAATTATTTCATAAAATAACATTTTATTTTGTTTCAAAAGTTTAATTTCTACTCACCAGATTTCTGAACATTTCCATCATCAATACTTCCCCCTGGTGAATCAATCTGAAATTCACAATCTGGAGGCTTATAACCAGGAAAGCAATGACAATTACCCAAATTATTACATATCTGAAAGAGAAAAACAATAATTATTATAAATCATGTTAGTCTTTACATCTTAGAAATAAATACTTAATTTCCAAAGAATAAAATCACAATTTTTCTAGGTTTATTAATACTATATGAGAAATAGGTGAGAAAAAGTAGTGAAAATTTTGACAACATAATGGTCAAGGAGAAAATCATGAACTATGTGATAGTATATTTCTGGCCTCTATATATTGACTTCGATAAGTACTTTGTCTTCCCTCATCATTTTTTAATAAATGGGATTCAATAAAATTATGGCCATTATATTCACAAAAGACAGCATGTCATTGGTTGAATTTAGAATTTTTCACAAATATTATCTCATTTAGTTATTGTGAATATATTGGCTGTCACCACTTCCACATTTCCTATTTATGCACTTTAATTTCTATATAAAATATTGCAATAAAATTACTATTAATTGACTTAGTCACTTTAATTTCTTAACCTAGCCCTTTTCTCAAAATTTGTTACTATTGATCAAAGATTTGTATTTCATTTTTGTGAACATATTTTCCAAAGTGAAATAATACGGAAGTAAAAAGTATTAAAAATAGACAATAAAATGAAGCTTTATGATAAGCTTGCATTTCAAACAGTTTACATCTGTCGAGTTTACATGTTATTTGTGCTTTTACATTTCAATAGTTTAGTATTAATTTTCATTTTATAGTAAACCAAATAAGTAATATTTTGTAAATTGAAACATTTAAAATGCACAGAACTAAAAGAGTCCTCACCCACTAATGAAGTCCCACTCCCCACTGCTAAGCATTTTCTTCATTTCATTCATATATACGTATGTAAACATGTGTACCCACACCACAAACACATGTAAACAGACATGCACGGGGTTTTGCCAAACTAATATCAATAATGTTATACCATGAACTTATTCCCATTTCTATATTTATAAATATAGGAATGGAATATTTTTAAAAGTAGACATAATGTTCAATAATATAGATATTTCCTTAAGTTCTGCTATAGATATTGTTTCCTGTACATTTACATTCATACTGCTAAGTTGATTGTTTAAAGTTTATTAAAATTTTTAAACCTACTTTCCCTACACATCAAAAGTGATTTCAATAAAATGAGTTTGAATTATAGCCTTGAATTCCATAAGTTACTCTTATGTTTTATATATACATACCTCTACTTTAGGATATATAGTGCACTGGCCATAAACATGTTAATATAAAGCTTTGAAATTAGGATGGGAATGTCATTTATTTATCATTTAAACCTAATCCATAATTGTTTCCCCTTCCTTAATTTACAATATCTAAGCAACATAAGAAAACAGAGGATACTGTCACTGTATTTTGACTATTCATGAAAGAATATCGTCCACTAGAGCAGAAGCAATAATTGAATAAATAATATTATACAAATTTTCCTAGATGAAGAATGACTTGATATTTCAGACTGGATGTGTGACTCTTTAATGGGAAAAATGAAACAAAAAACAAACTTTAGACACTTGTCAGCAATATTTCTAGGCTCAAAAAAAACAAAGAAAAATAGTCTTACAACATTCTGCCCAAAGGAAGGAGAATTAACCTAACATAACTTTCCTCTCCAACAGCACCAAAAGCAACAGGACAGCACAACAGATTTTACAAAGTTTTGGGAGAGGTCAAGAGAAATTTAATAATCCTGTGACAACAAAGAGATCTTATATGTTCAAGGGCAAAATTTTTGCATTGTTGATATGCAAGGTCTCTAAATATGTATCTACCACATACATTTTCTCTCTACTTTTTGAAAAAAAGAGTATTATTCCAGTACCCTACCCCTTCCATTAAAGTAGGAGAACAATGTCATGTTAGAAAGAACACTTTATCTAGAATATCAAATCTAAATAGATTATAATATCCTTTACAACGTATTTTTTAGAAAAAATTAACGTAATGCATAGAATCTCTCAGGGACCACCAAGTCAAAGTAGCTACACAAAACACAGAAGTTAGAGACAAAAAGCAAAGAGTATGTAAAAGTACAAAAATGAGACAGACTTAATTGTGTGTGCAAGGAGCCATAGTCTTTTTTTTTAAGTTTTGTATAAGGATAGAGGAAAAAAGATATAAGAAAAACTGCCAAAATGGCAAGGTAACAAGTGACAAAAAAAAGCTATACCAGCGAATTTTCTTTGTATTTGGGCAAGGCAGGGCAAAGGAAGAAATTAAAAATGATTCATCAAAAAGTGAGGAAATGTATAAAGGGGAACTACAAGAAATAAATAGTATACAATGTAAGGAACAAAAGAAAGAATACTAATAAAAGACCACAATTATCACGATGGACTAAATAGTGAAAATTAGGAACTAGACCAACATACGTATAACAAAATACAAACGAGAATGTATCAATTATGCACATACCAGAAATCATGATAATTTTTGTGAACACTTATTACAGACTTAAACACTAAAATGATAAACGTAAGACATATGAGCACATATAAGTTTTAGTCAATGAATTTGAAAATATGGATAGAATTTTTTAAATAAAATACATTTTAAATAAAATACATTTTTAAATAAAATACAAATAAGCAACTCCTGCCACAGGAGAAATTTTAACCTAATTTTTTTGTGAGAGAATTGCTTTGTGAACATGATATCTTCATATCACATTTTTGTGCTTAATTTGTCACATACATTTTTTGATCCAGAAATACAAATGATAATCTGCAAAATTTCCAATGTGGCAATTGAAAATAAAATAAAATTTTTGTACATCCATTTAAAATTTCTGACAACTGAAATTATATTTTAAGCTTTAAACAGTATTCTTTTTATTTATATATTTTAATAAAAATGATATGTATTTAACATGTACAACATTAAGATCTGATAAAAACATTAATAGTGAAATTATTTTTACAGTCAAAATAGTGAAATGATTATTATAGTAAAGCTAATTAACATATCTCTTCAGATAGTTGCCATTTTTCTATGAGTGATGACTGCACCTGAAATCTACTCTCTTGGCATATTTTCAGAGTTTAATACAATATCATTAAGTATAGTCATCATGCCTGTATATTAGATCTCTAGAGTTATTAATCCTACATAATTGCAACTTTGTACACTTTGACCAGCATCTCAGTGTTTCAACCACAGCCTCCATCTCTGGTAACCACCGTTCTGCTCCCAGCATTCTACTCTCTCCTTCAGTGACTTTGACTTTATTTTGAGATTCTACATAAAAGTGAGGTAATACAGTATTTGTCTTTCTCTGTCTGGCTTATTTTTCTTTGCATAATATCTTACAGATTTATCCATGTCGTCCCAAATAGCAGGCTCTCCTTTCTCATGGCTGAATTATATTCTATTGTGTGTGTATGTATGTGTGTGTATATATACATCTCACATTGTTTTCCATTCAGGCATCAACAAACACTTGAGTTATTTCCAAAACTTGGCCATTGTAAATAATGTTGCAATGAACATGGGAATTTCTTCAAGATTCTGATTTCATTTACTTTGAATATACAACCAAAAGTGAGACTCATAGATAATATGCTGTTTTATTATTATTTTTGAGGAATCTCTATACTTTTTTCTATAGTAACTAATAATTTACATTCCCACCAACAGTGAACAAGGGTTACCTTTAAGCCATATCCTCGTCAACACTTATTATCTTTTCCCTGTTTGATATCAGATATTCTAACAGATGTGAGGTGATATCTCATTGTGATTTTGATTTGCATTTCTCTGATGATTAGTGATATTGAAGACGTTTTCATCTATGTGTTTGTCATTTGTAAGTCTTCTTCTGTGACATGTCTACTCAGGTCCTTTGCCTATTTTTTAAATTGTGTTATTTGTTTTCTTGCTACTTGAGTCTGAGTTCCTTAGATATTTTGGATATTAATTCCTTATCAAAAGCATACTTTGCAAATATTTTCTCCCATAATGTAGGTAGTCTCTTCACTCTGTTCTAAAAAAGAGAGTCTTACTAGTAAAAGTTGTGTACATATGATGAATCAAAAAGAATACCACTACCATAATTGCCAACCTGTCACAATTAATGAGATTTCTGAACAACCTCATGCTCATAAAATTGGACAGGAATTGTAAATGATAGAGCTGTAAGTTAACTCTATCAATTGAAAATAAAAGACTTGCCTATCTGTTGAGATGTCACTAGAAAATAAATAGAGCTTCTCCTGGATTCAGTTAAGATTTTACTTGACATTTTAATTACTGTTAAAGAGTTTTTCTTTTCAAAAATTTCAGTTGAATTTTTCAGAGAAAAATCCAAATTATAGACATTTTATCTTATTTCATTCTGTTATGTATGCCATATTTCACAGTGAAAAACTTTATTAAATGAAAAAATACATCCAAAAAGTCTAAGTAAAGTAAAAATAGAATCTGATAATAGATTAAGAAAAAAATTGTATCCAATAAAACAAAGCATCAGTAACCTACAAGGGGCCAGCTCCATTGCTGAGTGGTTAAGTTTGTGCGCTCCACTTCTATGGCCAGTTTTGATCCTGGGCACATAGCTATGCACTGCTCATCAAGCCAGGCTGTGACAGCATCCCACATAGAAGAACTAGAGCAACTTGCAACTAGGATATACAGCTATGTACTGGGGCTTTGAGGAGAAAGGGGGAAAAAAAGAGGATGATTGGCAACAGATGTTAGCTCAGGACCAATCTTCCTAAAAAAAAAAAAGGTGGTCTTTTAAAAAAAAAAACCTTACAATCCATAACTTTGTTTTTAGATTTTATGAAAAATATTTAGGCTGAAGACATAAAACAGATAATTGAACAAAGGAAAGAAAAAGATCACCCCAACAATTGTAGCTATAGACAATAAAAAACAAAATATGAAAATGTAGCTGTCTTGTTTGTTAACAGCCCATAGAAAATTAAAGATGATGCAGTGACATTTTATATCTTCTAAATCCAATCAATCAAAAATTATAGGTTGAGAGCCAGTGTCATGATGGTGGTG